CACACCTGGAGCATTTCCAAGATTTTGACGAAAATACTTCGAACGTTTAGGCGTCCCACCGTGTGGGATAGAAGAATACCTTCGGGCACCTGTAGGATGCAACGTTGTGTCGTTTACCGGAAGAAAAACATCCACTAAATAAAAAAAAATATAAAATAAAATAAAATGAACAGCCCCCCTCTCCCCATCCCCCGCCCCCCAAAAAGGTGAGATATTTTTACACTTCTGTGTAAAAGAATGTGTACAAATTTCTTGCATTATACTTGTTGAGATGTACAAAAATAATAAAAAAAAGATTTTATTAACGTAGTTTATAAAACCGGATGGAAGAAAAGTTGATGAAAACCCCATGGAGGATACACGAATAATAAACACACGGGTTTCGTTTCGTTTCGTTAAAGATGACGATAATAATACTAATACACACTTAATACTACTGTACATTCGTTCTGGCAAAGATTCGGCATTGCGTCAACGAGAATATAACATAGTAAAGAATAAGAGACTCGTGACTTTATTTTCGATACGTTTTAAGCGTCGTAGTCGATGATCCGCGTGCTTCTCTTTCGATCATGATGCCCAATTCTACTTTGGACACCTGTTGTTAGCTCCACGAAAATGATACAATATCTTAAAATAACCTAAAAAAAACCTAAAGGTAAACAACTTCTTTCTTTCTTTTCTTTTTGTCGGAATAAACAATTTCAATATGATTATTATTATAATTATTTTTATAAACATTGAGTTACTAAAGATGTTAATGTGAAATAATTTATCCTACGTTTTTATAAAAAAATAAAAATAAAAGACATACACCATTATAAAATGTTAAATATATGAGCTTGGAAATTAAAAAATTAACGTAGTACTTTTTAATAAAATTAATTAAATTTAAGCCACCATTTGTTAGAAAAACAAAAATATATAAATATATTATTAATATAATATATAATTGAATATAATTTAATATAATATAAATAATTATAATGAGATAATTCACGATTGAATTGGATATAATTCGATATGAATTATCGATATGAGTTTGTGATATTTCAAAGGGAAATTAAAACATTAACGTAGTACTTTTTTACATTCAATTTAAACCACCTATTATAAATATATTATTAATATAATGAAATAATTCACGATCAAATTGGATATAATTATTTGATAAAAAATAATCAACCTAAACTAACCTAAAACGTATGGATCTTTAAAACGAAATGAAAATTCGTAGCAAGCAAGTAAGTACAAGGAACATAGTTTTCAATCTCATAGAAAAAGAAAATGAGAAGATGAAGAAGAAGGTGGTAAAGAGACAGATATAAAATGTGTGTGTGTGTGTGTTCTCCTCATCTTTCGTGTCTTTGGTGGCTGCTGTACAAGAGGATAGAAGAAGCAGGTTGGTGCGCTGGGTGGTTCTTCTGGCACGATGCCAGGCGTCCGCCGAATTTAGCACCGCGACGCTGACTAACTCGCGTGGCATTCATTCAATAGTCGACTAAAAAGCTCCCTGCCGCCCCCCCCCACCACCCTCACCCCTTGATGCCTTCCTTGCATACTCCATTCTTTCGAGAACTACGATAGGAACGTTTATATCGTCAAAAAACATTTACATTGTCCGTACGTTACACTCGAATATATTATTCTTCAAATGTTCTCCAAAATGGCGGCTTTTAATTGCATTCTTTTACTTACTATTTCTTATTATTCTATATATCTAATAAGATTTATTATTTTAGTTAGATTCTTAACAATCTGATGATAACTTATACAACAATTTAAACCTTAGTTTGATTTACACGATTATTTTGTGTAAGAATTGAATTTGTTTAACAAAAAAAGAAATATAAATTTTTCGACAATTCAATGATTGAAGGTTTCGAAAATTTGTTAGGAATTATTTAAAGAATTTTTGTGAATACATTGAAAGCACCGGAAGTGAAAGATCCAACAGTAGACTGTTAAAACATACCAAAAGTAAGGTTAATTTACTACAAACAATCTCAAGTAGAACTAATTTCTATATTTTGCATGACTTAATAATTAAAAAAATAAATAATTATCTATAAAATAATAAATGTAGATTTTAAGGGATGGTAATATTCTAAAATATGTTAACTGCTCAATTTAATATGATTTAAAGTATGGCGACGCATGTTTTGATGGCATGGTTGAAAATACAACATTTTGCCAAAGCATTTGCTTGCTTCGTTGCTTGGTTGCTATCACTTGACGCACAACGGGATTGAAAACGAAAGAAAAAGAAAATAAGAGAAGAAGAAGGAGAAGAAGTTCTATTTTGAACGGAAGAACGATCGGTGTGCCAGACAAACGCGAGTATCTACCTTTTTATCTCGCACTTTCGATCGAGAACCTTTAAACTTAAGAGAAAAGCAACATGTTGTTACATTTTTCATGATATAAGTGTCCAAAAGTAATTATTTGATTTATTGGTAAAGTTATTGTCTCTTGATTTACGTATTATGTAAAAAGAAAATATATTATATACTTATAATATGTAACCTAACCTATATAGAATCATATGTAATCTAATAAGACCATAATTATTATTATTAAAATTGATTTTAATTATACAAATGTAACCTAACCTATATATAATAATATATAACCTAATATTAAAAATTACATATTAATAATATATAACCTAACCTATATATACGTAATAATATATAACCTAATAAAATCATAATAATTATCATTAAAATTGATTTTAATTATATAAATGTAACCTAATCTATATATAATAATATATAACCTAATAAAATCATAATAATTATTATTAAAAATTAATAAATTAGTTTATATTTTTGTATTGATGATAAAATCTATTATAACACACACACCAAAGTAAGATCAAATTTCAACCCTGTGTATTCTTGTAAGAACTTTACATGTTTCTTGGAATTTTAGGAGACATTTGCAACTCCGATGACCGTACCTCTCCTGGAAGTATCACTCGTCTCTTCTCTTCAGCAAAAAGCTTGTAAATGTATATGTGTTTGTATGGGTGTATATGTCTTCTTGATGAATCACACATCTTACCAGCTTTGCTGCATTACTTTTTACTTTTTTTCTTTTTTTTTTTTTAAGTTATCGTAGCTCCATTTTATTTTCATTTTCAAAGTTAAAGAAGCCGAATGGGATGAGGAAGACAAAAAAAATACCCTTCTTGTTTTTTTTTCTATTCGTACATTGGGCACCGTAAAAGTTAATGAGCTTGTACGCGTGCCATCGATTCAACGTCAAAAGGGACGACCCTTCTTCCTCTTCCTCTTCTTCTTTCTGATCCTAGGATTCACTTTTCCTATATTTTCTTTCAATTGATTTTAAATTATTACGAGTTGTTCTTTCAGAGTTAAGAATAAATTTAAAAATTTATTTTTATTATAAATTTTCTTTTTTTAAACAACGAATCATCGCAATGACCGAGAACAATAATTTCATAATAGAAAAATCGATCTTTATGGAGTGTACATCCCATGTGTGTAACCTTTATCAAGTTTTTTTTTTCCTGATGCACAACTCGTTGATCCGTGTCAAAAAGTATCATCCTATATATATATATATATATATATATATATATATATATATATA